ATCTACAGTCACGTGCAATATGACCTGCTCCACCACAACTTGAGCATACTATGTTATTTGTCACATTTGGTTTATCTGGACACTATTAATAAAAAAGATAAGAATGAAATTAATCTGCTTTTAATTAAGTGCATTTAAATATCAATGTACTAACCAGCCATGATTTATGATCGGATGCACCGCAATTAGTACAACGTGGTCCATCATTTTCTCGTAATGTTCCATTCAATAAAGCCAATTCTCTAAGTTGATTACGTCTTAAATCATTTTGTCCTTCAGGTACTTCTACACCTTGTCGTATAATTTCATGAATCTATAAAAAAATAATTTAACGAAACATTTGTAAATAATTATATAATAATTTATAAAATTATTACATACTCTTTCAACGGCTTTTTTTACAGCATCCAAGTTATTAGCAGTAATATATGCATGCAAAGGTTCATCTTCACCAGGTAAAGGTTGTCCATCTTTCCTTCCAACTTTTCCTTCTTTTACAGAACCTTTACCACGAATTATTATCTTTGCTCCAGTTTCCTTTTCCATTGCTATAAAATACGAAAAAAAAACTAATAAAATTTATATAAAATTTATATATAATAGATTAATGAGAAAAAATTATTGTTACAATGTTAATATAGATATAGTTATAATTATTTGTAAATATGACTAATATTATATATTGAATATTATTTATATTTATATTATATTATTTATCAAAAATGATCAATTACATTTGCATTTTAAAAATTTTTTTGAGCAAGAGTAACAATATTATATTAATATTATATATTTATGAATATTTTAAATTTACATTTCAATGTATTTCCACGTGGACCAATCAGAAGACCAACAAAGTTAATGTCTGGATGTTCTTCTTGAGGAATCATTACTTTATCATGTACACGTATAATTGGTGGTCTAAAAATAATATTTTATAAAATACAAAAAATCATTCATACTATAATTCTAAATATAAATAAATAAAATAATAATATAAATAAAAAAGTATTTTTAATTACTTATAATCTGGTGGTGGTTTAAATTCTGGATTAATTTTGAGAATCTTCTGAATAAGATTGTGACGCTCTTCTTCCAATTTACGTCTAGTACGATATTCTCTCGTATTCAACCGTTTTCCATCACTACTATATATAGGTTCTGGAGATGGAGATCTGCAAAATAAAAAAATAAAATTTTGTCAAGAAACAAAGTTTGCATTAAGATGGTACTAGCATACAAGCAACCTGATCCTACTATGATTGTGTGATTAAGTGGAAGATTGGAAACTAAGATAACATTGTAATTGATTTTCAAAGTTATTAGGCTTTAATTATATTTTTTTCTTTAACATAATATTTCTTTTCTGTCTTTTTAACAAATAAAAGAAATTCTGACCATGTTGGAAAATTTTAAAAAATCGTTTATAAAATATACATAAAATTTTTCATTAAATAAGTTAAATTTCAATTTTTGTTATTAAAAAACAAATAAAAATTGAATAATATATTATTTTTGTATATATGGATATTTTTCTTGATCTTTCATTAAAGATGGAATATTGTACTAAATAAAAATCTTAATATTAATTAACAATAATTGCAATAATTTATATTTAAAAGATTTATCTATTAAATCTTAAGTTAGTTATTATTAATTTAAAAGCTAAAAAAATGTTTCTAGTAATAAAATTGTTAATTAGTCTTAAAATGCATTACATTTATACAAATTAAAAAAAAATTTTTTCCAACAGTGTCACGATATGAAAATAAAGAATAAAAAATTATGTAATGTTGAATATAACATTGCTATAAATCTATTCAGTAGGTAACACCTGGAAGACTGCGCGTTTGTGCACGGCAGAAATCGGTATGATGTCAGCTGCTAAGATTGATCCTGTGATTATTAGGAAATAATTTTTTTGGATTAGTTAATAGTTTGTATATCTTACTATACTGTATAATAACTAATGAAACACAATGATATAAAATAATGGTTCCAGCTAAAATCAGAAAAGTTAAACCTATTGGAGTAAATTAATTTATTAGAAAAATTAATGTGTATTTATTTAAGTTGTACCTGAAAGTAACGTAATATTGATCTTTATAGTATTATGTTTATATTAGCAATTATATTCTTATGAATTTTATTATTTGCCTGAAATCTGGTCATTAAGTTGTGATTAAGGATAATATCTATTTTTATTAATTAATGATAAATATCCCTGTGGCATTACAGTATTAAACAACAAATAAATGCCGTGCAAATCACAGCAGCCTAATAAAAAAATTTATTAAGGTGCCCTATGCACAAAATTATTTTATTAATTGGTCAATACAATAATGAAATACAGCCTATTAACTTGAATAAAGCATTCTGCATAGGAACACCTCTGAATTTCCCTACATGTGCAAGAATATAACTATTTTAGAAAATATATGGACTAGAATACCCACTGTATGTTAAACACTGCTACTATAATTATTTTTTAATTTATACTTTTAATCATATCAAATGTTAAAAGACGCATTATTTACATATAAATGTATATGCATTTTTATTTTCAAAATAAATATATTCATTGTAAAAATGCTTTATTTTTTTTTTATTTAATTATTTATAACTAATAACTTTAATTATTGCCCTAAATTGTTTAAATGTATATCTAATAAGAATTTTGTAGCAGTGTTTAATAAAAATGAATTAGTAAAAGAAATTGTTTAGGGCAAACCAATATTATCAAAATTCATCTTCTGTGCTGCGTGGTGGCTTTAATCAAGCCCAATCTTTTCAAACAGACATCAGTATCCCACATTAACTGTACTGGAGCCATATCATAAGGCCCCTGTATTTATGGGCTGCTGAATGGTCAGTAGATAGGTATTGTAGATATGTTATGGTCATTTTTGGTATGTAAGTTTCGTTCAAACCTTTCCTCAGGATTAAGTGGAATTCCAAGATCTCCAGTGCGTAACTTCCTGCTGATTTCCTCAATCTGCAGCTGAACTGTAAACCAACGGGTTAGAGGGGGCGGAAACCCCAACAGTTAGATATTGCCAATTTGCCATACCAATATACATTCTATAATGTAAGCATGTTTCAAAAGAATAGAATATTCATTTAAGTCTAGTATTTTGTCTGAATTTTTAAATTCTCTTGAATAAATTTCTATTTCTTTTCATGAATAATTATAAAATATACTCAATAGTTTTTTTTTAATAATTTATTTTCTTTTAATTTATTTATATATATTCTATTTTATATATATGTGATAAATCTTGATATATATATAAATATACAAGAAATAAAATTAATAGAAAATTTAATATATTTAAACAATCTAAGAAATCTGATAACTTCATCATTCAGCAAAATTGGCAATTCCTATTGCCAAACTCGCTTGTTGAAAATATTTAAAGGGCAATTACCTTTGGCAAATATAAATTTTTAACAATATATACATACTTACATCTTTTATAGTACTACAAATTAAGTTTCAAAAATTTATACACAGAAGCATGATTCTTAAATCATATCCTGCCCATATATGTATATATATATGTATATATATAATACATAATTAAATTGAAATGATGATCAAAGAAATACAGAAAATAAACTTACAGAGATAAGCTTTCTCCTGTTCAGGAGTCAGGTTTGTTGGTAGAACTGTAGGCATTCCTGGTATAAAAGTTTTGTCATGTTCACTACCGCTCCATCTAGTTTTCCTCCTCTTCCTACGTTCCTCTTTCGTCTCTTTTTCCTGTTTACCATCACCTACAATATGTCTAATTTATTCACAATTCTTGAAATTTTTTTCTAAATTAACATTTAAATAAATTTTAATTTTTTTTAAAAAATGAAAAAGATCACATTACGCAGCACCTATATATTATATGAAAAGATCAAGAATTGAAAATTATATTATATTAAGCTATGTAAAATCATATGATTAAGCAAATTGTACATAAGAAATCAGGTCGCGCATAATACAAGAACAAAATCAATGACATATTATTAAGAAACTTTCAAACGTACTTTCCGCTTCGCGTTTTCTTGTGTTATTTGTTGTGGAATTGGAATTGGTGTTAAGCTGTGTTCCATTTGCAATTGCAGCACTTACCGCGGCAGCTGCTGCAGCTGCAGCGGCAGCCGCGTTTGCAGTCGCAGCATTTTGTTGCGCGTTTTGCAAATAACTCGGATTTAATAATGATGTAAAATTCCGTGACTGATTCATAATGTAAAACTTGCCAAAGACGTATGATACGTCAAAATGATCATGCGCTTATTTTTCCAAAATCAACAGAACGTTTACACACCACGAAAATGGCGGCATTCAACTGACGGACACCTTTGCCTCTTTCATGGGCGTACCGGAGACGGATGCTGTCTTTTCGGGTAGAATTAATAAAGAATATTCTCGCTAGTTGGCGCTTTGATGAGTTTTGGAACACCTTCAATTTTAACAAAATAAATGTAAAAAAAATAAAAAAAAGATTCAAATTAATTTTTTTTATTAACGAAATGTGTGTGACATTTTATTTATATTTTTTAATATAAAGTTATAAAAAATAATTATTATTTGCAAGAATAATTATCTTGCGTTCTTAAATTTAGCAAAATATAAAATAGTATTGTATTTTCTATTTAATACTATCTATAAATAATTTTTAATAATCTATTGAAATTTTTTTACTAATAAATTATAAAATTATTATTTTAATTGGAATAGTTTTTAAAAATAATATATAAATACATGCATCCAAATGCAATAGTTTATTATTTTTCATTGGTTGTGATAAATACAGTGATATATATTCACAGTTGCATATTGTACAACTATTGGTTATAAGATTACTATTGGTTACAAGATATAATTCTTAAAAATACTGATTTTTTAAATCCAAATTTAATTTTAATTTATTTTATTATTGTTAATTTTATTTAAAAACCTATATTAAGATCTGTTTTTTATAGATCAAATAAATACAATATTTGCTAAAATACGAATGATAATCATATCCGGCTTTATTCAATCACAACAATGGTGTCGAAACGTTGTCTGATGTTCTGAAACGTGATGTAACGTTATGTGTATAACGTCGGAGTTTATTGATACCGGCGTTAGAACATTAACAGTATCTATATTTGATCGTCATGAACACTGTTTGTATCTGATAGTCTGACAGCTGTTTAAATTTCAGTGTGATGTGCACTGGATTGTTTTTTACGAGCGTTGAAAACGCAGTACCTTCTGGTCATGTAAGGTTTCCTATGTAATCAACGATGAAACTACTGCGTGGTTTCAACGCATCGGAACGTGCAAGTGTTACAGCTTAACTGTAGTACATTTCGAATGTTTTTCTCTATTATCTTTAAGTACAAAACTATAGAACAGTTCGCGGTATAATGGCAGCTCATAAGACAGGCGGGCAAAGTGCTCGAAAGAAAGTACAGGTACTTGTTCGTAATACTTTTTTTCTTTTGAAACATATTATTACAGCGTAGCTTTTCGAATATATATATATTTTTTAATCAAATAAAATATTTTTATGAAAACGACATTGTTACATGCTGATTAATATTGATATGCCGATCGTTAAAAAACCACATGATGGTGTGTGAAATAATAGAAATACGATTGATCTATGATTTTTTCATATTTGTTGTTTAATACTATATACAATTATTTATCGATTTCATAATTTTCTTTTAATTAGTAATATTGTTTGTAACGAATAATATCGTAAATGATTTTCTATGTTTATAGACTTCCAATAAATTTATTTGTGATGAAAATATATATTCAGAATGTTTCACTCAATTATTTTATTATTATATATATTTAATAAAGGTATCCATGGTTATAAGAGATGAAGTGGAAAAAAGACATAGAGCTGGAGTTAATTCATTACAATATGATCCAGCTTTGCATAGGCTTTACTCTGCAGGTAGAGATAGCATTATAAGGATATGGAATTGCAAAAATATGAAAGACCCATACATTCAATCAATGGAACATCATACAGATTGGGTTAATGATATAGTATTATGTTGTGGTGGCAAAAATTGTACGTATTTTTTTTACATTTTTAAATTACTATATATCTATTACATCCATATATATAAAATATCACATTAAATTAATATTGTTATATTAATGCTAGAATCACTTTTAATTGATAAAAAAAAATGGTTTTAGTAATATCAGCCAGTTCTGACACTACAGTAAAAGTATGGAATGCACATAAAGGTTTTTGTATGTCTACATTAAGAACACATAAAGATTATGTGAAAGCTCTAGCATATGCTAAAGATAAAGAGCAAGTTGCTAGTGGTGGTTTAGATAAATTAATCTTCTTATGGGATGTAAATACATTAACTGCTCTCACAGCAAGCAACAATACAGTAACAAGTAAAAAATTAATTCGTATATAGCTAAATGACTTATTATTGTTTATACATTATTTAACTAATATTTGAATAATTTATAGCATCGTCTCTTAGTGGAAATAAAGATTCTATATATAGTCTTGCCATGAATCAAATTGGAACAATTATAGTAAGTGGTAGCACAGAAAAAGTTTTAAGAGTATGGGATCCAAGACACTGTACTAAATTAATGAAACTTCGTGGTCATATGGATAATATCAAAGCATTAGTATTAAATAGAGATGGTACTCAGTGTTTATCTGCCAGTTCTGATGGAACAATTAAACTTTGGTCATTAGGGCAACAAAGATGTATCCAAACTTATAGAGTACATAAAGAGGGTGTTTGGGCATTATTGGTAATTGCAGTTTTCTTTCTTTTTGTTTTTTATTAATGTTTTATTAAAATAAATAGTGCAAATTATTATATTGGAATAATTATCCTTAGGCAACAGATACTTTCAGTCATGTAATATCAGGAGGTCGAGACAAAAGAGTTGTAATGACTGAATTATCATGTTATCCTGAAAGGTATACAGTTATTTGTGAAGAAAAAGCACCTGTGTTAAAAATGGTTATGACACCTGATCAATCCAGCATTTGGGTAGCAACTAGTGAATCTACTATAAATAATTGGGTATTGTACATTTTATTATATATAAGAAAAAATCTTATCAATAGTATAAATAATATTTTGAAATTTATTATAGTCTATAAGTCAAAAGGATTGGCAAGAATTAGGAATAGAAGATTATTGTGATTCTGCTAGTGGAATAACACCTAAAAATACAGAACCTGCACAAAAAATATTAGGTGCTCCAGCGATACGGCACTGTCACGTTTTAAACGATCGAAGACATGTTCTAACAAAAGATACAGAAGAAAATGTAGCTTTATATGATGTATTAAAGGCGCGTAAAGTTGAAGATTTAGGAAAGATAGATTTTGAACAAGAAATAAAAAAAGAATAAAATGGTGTATGTTCCAAATTGGTTTAGTATAGATCTTAAAACTGGGGTATGTAATCTTATAATAAAATTTTAATATATTTAATATAATGAAATTGAAGATAATTTTTAATATTATATTTTTATAGATGTTGACCATTCATTTAGGTCAAGATGAAAATGATTGTTTTTCTGCATGGGTTTCTGCAAAAGAAACTGGACTTGCAGAAAATGATGCAGTAGATCAAAAAGGTAATATTTATTTTTTATATTATTTTTTGTTATTTTTAAAATTTTTTTTATTTTTTTATTTTTAATTTTTTTTTTTTTTTTTTTAGTGAATTATGGAAATCTTTTACTACAAGCTTTACTCGAACATTGGTGGAGACCGTTACATGTTGACGATGAAAATGAGGGCAATAGTAATGATGGTAATGGTTCTATGCACACTAGAGGAGGAAATCTATATTTCTCTGTACCAACCCACACACCTGTTATATTTAGGTACAAAAATATTATATTCATTTTTTTTTAATAAGAATAAATTTAATTAAATATCTTGAATTATAATTCACAATAAATTTATAATTATATTTTAGTGAAGTAGGAGGAAGACCTTTATATAGATTATTAGTTAGAGATGCTGCGGGAGAAATGGAAGGAGTATTATTAAATGAAACTGTACCAGCATGGGTAGTTAATATTGTTGTGGATAAAAATCTTCCACAATTCATTAAAATATCATTTTATATTCTTCCTCATGCCACATCTGGCGTAAAAAGTTTAAAAAAGTATGTAATAAATAAATAGTTTTTTGTATAAATTATTATTAAATAATATATATATAATAATATGAATTTTATGTATATATTTTAAGAGATCGCTTAATCGCAAACGATTTTATACAAATTCGTAAAGTAGCAGAACATGTTTGTGATAAAGTGCTTGGTGCTGGAAGTGATTCAGGATCAGTAGCAGGTGCTGGAAATACAGTTTCTGGAGGATCTCCAGCAGGAGATAGAACAAATACAGATTCAAATGCTGATAATTCTTCGCTGGCCGAAGAAAAAGTAGAATTGCTATGTAATGATCAAGTTTTAGATCCTTCTATGGATTTAAGAACTGTATGTTCTAATATTTTATGCAACAATATTTATTTAAATTTATGAAATTTTTAACTCTATTTTTAATATATATTAGGTCAGACATTTTATTTGGAAAAGTTCAGCAGATTTAATACTTCATTTTCGGCCAGTAAAATAGTTAGGGCTAAGTATATCGGAACAGAGATCACGAAAATGTGCCTGGTTTTATACCGTCATAAAGTAAGTAAATACTTTTATGCAATACTTATTTATTAAAAATAATAATATAAAAATATTGCAGAATTACGGAAAATATGTGGTCTAGTTGCAGAGTGTGCAACTTCACACTACCTTCTTTTCATGAAATATTCAATCGAATTTCGGTGAATGTTTCATTAGATGCTGCGATTGAAGACGAATAAAAGCCAGGTTACATGTAGACTATTTAAAATTAAATGAGTTTAAAGGCAATAATGTGTGGAAACATTAGTATAAATTGCTCATATTTGTATATTTATATCCTGTGGCCAAATACAAAAATAATTTCAATTATTTTATTTTTAAAAACATGTTTTTTGTACTTTAATGCGAAGTATTTACTGTCAGCCATTTATAGTCTTCCCAGTTTAAAAATATTAAAAAAAAAAATTTAAGCACAAAAAAGTATAAATTGTATGGCCCAGGAAATTATTATTGAGTGTAACTTCTAAATGCCATGTTTTCTCATATGCTTTTTGAATTTTTTTTTATTAATTCCATGTAGCTATATATTTTTATGATTTGTAAATACTATCCATCCTTATTTTTTTGATAAAATTAGAAACAAATGTATTTGAAAGAATGAAATCAAAGAGATATATATGTATAAACAATACTCCACACACCTGCCTTTTTATTTAAAAAAAACAAACTATGACAGGAAGAGAAAAATGTCAATTTATCATTAATCAAATTAAAATTGAACAGCCAAATTAATAATTTAATATTTCCTATAATAATATGGGAAGTAACATAGTATGTCTTCGATATAATAAGATTAAATTCTGCCTTTAATAATACTTTTCAATTAATTAAACTTTTCATTAATGGATATATAATGATATTTCATATGAAAAAAAAAAGCATAAATACATTACAATTATTGGTAAAACAAGTATAAATACATTGGCAGAATTTGATTTTAGAAGACAATTCTATAATAGATAAAAACACAAAGTGTGTAATTAATCATATGTTAAAACATCCATTTTATTAGAATCCTATCAATTGTACATATAAATGCGATTGTAAGTAAGATTCTTTAATTACGGTGATGGGCTGTACTCATAAAATTCAATATATCAAAAATCAAAGCCTTTGCACCAATTTTACGAAATTGGGATAAACGCTTAACTTTTCTATAAAAAGTGAATGAGAGGAAGAGATGAAAAAAAAAACATAAAGAGAAAAATGTTCTTTATTAAAAATATGGCCCTAAATGTTGTAATTTTTGTGTTATAAAAATGACATAGAAGCAATTTTTTAATAAATCTAGAGATTATTCTATTGTTACATTTTAATATGCTACATATCGTGTAAGTATTTATTTGCTAAGTTTTTGCTATACTTATTTAATAATGTAAAAAAGAATTAGTTATTATAACTTAGTTTCTTTCTTTATTTTTATTAGGAATTTTAGAGCTCTGTGATAAATGTTTTTCGAGCTAAGGACGTTAATTAATAGAATAACTACCAAAAATATTGTAAAATTACAGTTAAGTTTGATTCATTTTTATGTTTATATATCGGTATTATATGTATATTTTTGCAAAGATCCAGTATCAATTATTGCCACATTTGATTCTTATATATATATTCATTTCTTAAGTGAAATGTATTTTCGTAAAATGACCCTCCTTATTGCAACAGAAAATCAATATGTGCCTGATCCTAGATTATAAGTTGTAGAGGGCATTTAAATTATGAAATAATCTACTGATCTTTTAAAAATAATATGAATTGTAAGTTAATGTTATTGTGGTGCATAATCATAGAAAATATTTTATCAGAATCTAATATTTAGTTATATATTTGTAAGAGTTCTCTTCATAAATTTTAAGTATTAACTATTGAATGAAATTTTTTGATAATTTACTTTTTTTGCTTCATTGTAAAAACTTTATTGTTTACTTTTTTTCATATTATAATTTTTTATATCATAAATAATTGCATAATTGCAAATTCATAAAAATTTAGTATCTTTTCATAGCTTCACTTGTAGATAATATTGTAATTATTTTACACACAAGACATGCATTTCATACAGTATTCGTAAAATATTATAACTGAGCTTTCTTCATTGAAGACAACATTGTTCATTAATGGAAGTATTAATGTATAATATTAAAAAAGCGCTTGTAATTACACTTTTAAAACACGAGATCTTTAAATCAAAACTAATTATATACCCTCTTTTTAATAAGGGACAAATAAATTTTCTCAAAATACAAGTTCTCATATAAAAAGAAGAAAAGAAAGAAAAGATTGTAAAATGGTGCCAAATTTTATACTAAACAAAAATTTCCGCAGTGCACCTATTTCTTGTAAAAAGATTTTTCTGTACAACTGCTTTTAATATTAATTTATTAATCATAATAATTCTAATATTTATTATCTAATGTTATATAATTGATAGAAATTTATAATTATAAATAATTTTTTTTTGTTTTTGAAATCTAATAGATATCGTCTCACATCTATAAAGTTTTATGATTGAAAGGGCTGGTTACTCATTTTAATTTATAAAATAATTTATAATTCATTTATATATGATACCAAATAAATTTTTCTATATCCTACGCGATGAGACGATATTCGTTTAATATTTATAAAATATTTTCAACTATTGATCGCGCGATACATTAAAAAAAAATCTGTAATATATTTTATTATTGTTAGAAAAAACAATTTGATAATGTTATATTTCATTTCAGGAAAAATTCTTTATGATTATGATGTTTACTTTATATTTTTAAACTATTATATTGTGAAATTATTCCTAGAACATGTGTGTATTATTAGAAAATTATTAATATTTGAATAAAATATAATTTAATACAGAATAACTTATATAAATGTACATGTGCACTAATATACATTATATTATTGCAAAATCATAATATTTAAATTTCTTTTTTAAGAATATATTCTACAGCTTGAACAAAAGAGCTGCATACTTTTGTAGGCAGTGGTGTAATTGTATTTTCATCTCCATTTCGATATTTTCCAGTTTGTACTAAAATTCCTCTTATACCAATAGCTTGGGCACCAGCTACATCATCTTTAACATCCTAAAAAAAGATATAAACACGAGATATAAAAAAATTAAAAATTAAAATACTGATTAACTTTATGTAAAATAATTTTTACATCGCCGATCATAATTGCTTCTTCGGGAGATACATTTCCTAAAGCAGCTTTAAAAAACTCTGCAGTAGGTTTTCCAATGACTTCTGCTTTCACATTAGCAGAATATTCTAAACCAGCAACAAATGCCCCTGGTCCTAAAGCTAAACCATCTGATCTTTTATAATATCGGGCTTTTTGAATTGCTATGAGAGATGCACCATCTAATAATAACCTGAAATTAAGAATAATTTATTTCCAAACATATTGTAATAAGTATTTTATTACAATATGTTTAAATATTAGAAACATAAAGTTAAAAACATACTGGAATATAATATTGGAAAAAAATTTTATAACATAACATGCTGAATACAAACAAACACCTGAATGCTTTTGTCAATTCTTCGTAATGAAATTTATCCGGTGCCAATCCAATTACTACAGCATTCATTGTTTCATTTGTTTTTACCAAATCTTCAAAATCTTCATTAGCATGAGGATCAATTAATAACATTGGATTTAATTTCTTCGAAATGATTAATTTTCTTGTTGCAATTAAACTACTAAAAATTTCTTCTTTTTTAACATTAAAACCTAATTTTGTTAATCGATTATGTAGTAAGTTGCTAGATTCTTTACTTGTATTTGTGACAAATTTGTACGGTATATTAGCATTTTGAAGCCTATATAGAAATAATAAAATTTCATATTAATATATCATTATAATATATCGTTAATAAATTATATCATTTATTAAATCTTCATTTATTTATTACTATTCAAATATTTAAACATTAAATATTTATAAATCAATGAATTTAATTTTAAGAAAATCATAAAATGGAATCGTCGCAACATAAACTGAAATTTAAATAAATTAAATGAAATTATCACCTGTTTAAAGCTTCCACTGCACCTGGAATCACTGTATTATCAATATGAAGAGTTCCACTAAGATCTATTAGTACCATTTTTATTTGTTTTGCCATATTTTATAAAATTTTCTTATTTATTTTATATTTTATATATTATATATTATATTTTATATATTATATTTATATATTATATATTAAATTTGGTTATTATATATATTTATTTATTTATCCAATATTTGTTACACAATTGAAAGTATATATATTACATACACAATGACAATACAATGTTTGGTTTTGATGGAAATCTTGTTATGTGACGCAAGTATCTCTGTCTAATCTAGCAACGACATTAAGAACAATGTGATGTAACGTATTCTTCTCTTGTATAAATTTGCTGTAGAGAAAATGAACCACTTTTAATGATAGAGAAGGTAGCATATTGTGGCAACTGTATATATAAGTCTAAACAATTACAAAATAGTAACGTTGTTTCTCATTGCACGTGGTCAAATATGGCGCTTTCCATGAGGCAGGAAGGTGTAAAACAAGTACCGTGGTTTTCTCTGTAAGTATTAGATAATTTTTATATATTAAATAAATTTATTTAATTAAAAATTATATTTGCATTACATAGCACAGAATGGCATCAAGTGTATAAACAGATTTATTCTAACAATATAAATGAACAATTTATGGGATACGAAATGTTACTTGCATGGAAAGCAAGGTAATTAATTATATTTAATAAAGTATCGTAAATAAGTAGTATTTTAGTATATATTTTAGTATATTAATTAATTAAAAGTATTTTAGGATACCAAAATTACCGATAGGAGTTGATTGTACTCTATCAATTATGCAAGTGTGTATTAGAGATCGCGAATGGACTTCCAAGATTAATAATGGCGAATTGCCAATTAGTTATGAAAATGATTTATGTTTGATGTATTCAACTACAATAATGAGATTTCTAAATCATATATCTAATATAGGACATACGAAGCAAACATCCTTGTTTCAGATTGCAAAACAGCTTAACATTCCAGAATGGATAGTAAACTTAAGACATGATACTGCTCATGGTTATGAATTACCATCTATTGATGTATTGAGAATAGCAATGAATATATTGTTAACCTGGCTACATGTAAATTAATTTTTACAATAATTTTTACAGTTTAATAATAATAGTTCAATATCAAAAAAAGAAAAACATTTTTTATATAAATATATATATTTAAAGGAAGAATATTGGGCAGCTGAAGGTAAAAGAATTGAGGAGTGCTTAGTTACGGAAGAAACTATGAAAGAAATTCAAGAGAGTGAACAAATACAGGATTTTAGTGATTTAATTGAACTTTGGAGCTCTGTTAGTCTGTACATTCATGTTGGTTATCATTTAGTATCTAATATTCCAGATGCTCAATTGAGGTATATATAACATTTAATTATTTTAGTTTATAATAAATATATATTAATAAATTAATATCATTAATAGGGAAACATTACAAGATCTACGTTCATATGCTATCTCTTTACTGGAAAAAAACAGTGAAAATATGCAAAATGAAAAAGATAACTATGAGACTGTAAAAGAGACTGATATAAAAAAAGATAAAAAATATACTTTAGAAACTGCAAGAATCGTTCTTTTATCAGAAATATCTAGATATCTTAACAAAAAATCCATACCCAATAAAAAAAATATTGTTTGCAATACATTACTTAATTCAGAAATTTTTTTACCAAATAAAGATATTTTATTAATTTTTACTCAAAATGAGGATATTGAAACTACATTGCAAAATAATGTATTGCCATTAGGTATGATGGAGTTTTGGAAAGATATAATATTTGTATTATATGAAAAAGATTTCATGGAAGCATTAATTGTAAAACTACTTGAATTAGTGGATAATGAAGAAATAAATAAAGAAAAGAGATTATTAGCTTCTTTATGGATAAGTTCTATATCATATAGTTTTTTAAAATTAAATAATGCACATTGTATATCTCGAGTTTTAGAATATCAGTTAGAAACAACACAAAAAAATTTACCAGTAAAAACTTTTGAACTTAAAGTCAAAGAAGAAACAGATCGTATTTATCCGCATTTGAAATATGCATTATGGTTTAATTTATCAGATATAGTATTACCATGTCTAACTGATATAAAATTTATTTCAAAGCTTATATTAAATGTAAATGAATTCTCAATTAAATTTATTGTGCCTCTTTTAGAATTAATAAGTCCAATAATAAATAATGATAACAAACACTTATTGTTAAATTTAATGAATCTTTATATAACAGTTGATAAAAGTAATATGGATTCTTATGAATATAAAAAAACTTTTATTCTCGAAGATATCCAATTTAATAAATGTGTATTAAATACAGATAATACACAGAATAATTTACAAGATAAAACATATCATATTTTTACCAATGAAAATATTAGAAATAATTATTGGAACTTTGCAGTTAGTAAGTATATTAAGTTATAAGTTTGTTTTTTAAGTTATTAATAAATAGATATAAGTTATTATTTATTTTTTAGCAACGTATAATTGGGCAGAATATCCAATTGGTTTGCTTCCTTGGCAAAATGATACCTTGGAATTTATACATCCACTTTATAGTATAGTACAAGAATATAATATTTCAGAATTAGAATCTAAAATTATTCCTGGAATTATAAATGAAAAAAACTTAAAAATGAAAGGTCAAATTAATTGGAATAATATTTTAAGGAAAAAAAAACGTTTAAAAAAGAAACAAGAACGAAGAAATGCAGATATTATAATGAATAAAGCATTAGAAACTGCTAAAAAACAAAAATAATATATTATAATGTTATATATGCATATTTATTATTTTAGTATGTTCACAAGAAATATGGAAATAGAAAAAAATTCAATGTAGGTTTTCTAACTTAATAAATAAATTATATAATTTTATTAAAATATAATCAAGATATAAAATTTTTTTTAACTATTTATAAAATTTCAATTAACAATATATAATTTTTTAATATCACATATATTGAATATATATTTAGGTAAAAGGTTTTTGTACATGCTTGTAAAAATATCTACATAATCTTATAACAACTTATTTATAATTATTCTTTTGCATTTTTCTCTTTTTTTTCTTTTTTACACACATACACACACGCGCGCGCACGTGCACGCACATAAATACACGCATTATATTTTAATGTATAAAATTTATAAATTAGATGAATTATATTAACATCACAGATATATTGAATAAGAATAACCAATAAATATCGTATAATTGTAAATATCTATTGTATAAATCATAATAATAATGAATAATCATTTTAAGTATAATTTAATGAAAATTTAATTTTAAAATTATAGCTATTGCAAAATATTAACAATACAAAAGTTCATTATATTTGTTTCTTTAGTAATTATTTTATTAATATATATATTTTACGATACATACTTCCAATGTATGTAAGATATTAAAATTTGTATTAAGATTTTAAAATTAATGATACATCAAAAATTTATGAAAAAATATGAAAATATAAACCGATGATGTATTTGTTTAGTACACGTGCACTCAATGTACTGGTGGATATTCTCGGGGTAAATGGGGTCAGGGGAACATTTCTCATTCTTTATCGGTGAGAGTACATGTGCACCGTAGGCGGAGTTATCTTATTGCCCTTGCCTCACTGTACCGTTATATTATCAAGGACTATATAAGTATAAGCATATCCAATAAATATTCAAATTTAATTTTCATAAAATATAGTTTTTTTTATAAAAAAACATCTTGTATACATTTTTTATTCATTGTTAAAAAATTTTATTTTACTACAAAAATTCAAAACGAATATTTATTAAGTACACATGTACTAAAACATCATTCCAGGCATGTAAGGGGTACTATGAAGAAAGGGGAACAGAATTGACTCCGCCTACAGCAATACCGTACAAACTTTTTGCACACAACTTCATCCTCTCGTATTAATATATTAATTTTAAATTGTTATTTTTACTGTTGATACAGTAAAAATAACAAAT